GAAGGGTGCCATTTGGTGTCTAAATAGCCGTCTCAGGCAGGCGAGGAGGCAGGTAAGAAGGTTTAATTAAAATTAGTGCCTCTCTCCTGGCAATCACGGTGTTTATGAAGATGGGCCCGGCAGGCATTGTTCCGCAAAGGACTTAATCGAAGCTTAATGGATTGACCTAACATTCGATTTCCTGACTTCCATTGAGGCTGCGGCAGCAGCATTCCCTTAAGCGTTTGCAATTTACCCACTGCTCCGCGCCAACAAAAGGCAGCCTGAATAGCAGCCCCACTCGAGGGGCCATTGTGCGCGGGGGCGCCTGCCTGAGTCACCGCTATTGGGACAACATTCTTTATGCCTCGCTGGAATGAAAGGATTATTCAAATATTCAATTAAACTGTGAAAAGGGGGCTTTTCTGAGAACCTGGAGGCCCCCAGCTCCGCAGAGCTAGCGGGCTGCTCTCTGAGGCGGGGGTGCCATCTCCCAGCCCCCTCCCACCTCCCACCTCCCACCACCAGGATTGCTAGGAGCTGAGCAGGCTTGGGGACCCACGAAGACGTTTCTCGAAGGTGCCCATCTCCAAGCTGTGGCAGCTCAGGGCCCAGAGCTGGGCACACAGATTAGGTCCAGTTCTTGGTTGGCTTGTGAAGCAGAGATTAATCTATTTTGCAGATCATGGGAAACTGAGGCTCTGAGAGGGAAAGGGACTTATTTGCCCCAGGTCACCCAGCTGGTGGTGGAGCTGGGATTTGAACCCCTGACATTGAGGGGGCAGCTCCAGGTTTGCGTGAGCCCTGCTTTGCATCTGACGATGAAGAGCATGGTGTTCTGTGGGATGCTGGCTCTGTCACATCCGTTATCCCACAGTCTCCACACGATCCCTTTAGATGGGGGCGCTGGGAGGCTGGGAGAAGGGGTGGAACTTGACCATGGTCTCCTCCAAGGTGAGGATGACAAACTTGAGTCTGGAGCTTAGAGTAGCCTTTCCGGGAAACCTAGGACCCCAGGGTGGACTCTGGGGTGGGACTCCAGATTGGATGAAACATGAAGTTATCATGTCCAGTCTTCCAGAAACTGGTGTCCAAGCTTGACCCCTGCTCACCCATAGGGCTTCGGAGCCAGAGAGACCTGGGTTTGAATGTGGACTCTGGCATCTATTGTGTGTCCCAGGCAAGCCCCACTGTCCCTTTCCTGCCTGCCTGGGTGTCTGCGAGGATTAACTGAGCTGGGAGCAAGGTGTCTGGTGGGTGTCCAGCAGAGAGCTGCGGGACCCGCAGAACCACTCGGAGGGGCCGTCCCTGAAGGCTGTGCCTGTTCCGCACCAGCCCCTGCACTCCACCCGCTGTCCCTGGTGCGGTCCTGCTGCTGCCGAGAACAGTAAATCCTGGAAAAGCCATGGCTCTGGCCCTCCCGCCCCCTCCCCTCCTGCCTCTACTGCAGCATCCTAGCTAGTTTTCCCTTCACCCCCAGCCACTTCCTCTGGGCCCCTTTACTGCTGTGTGGCCTTGAGCTGGTCCTTACCCTTCTCTGAGCCCCCAGCCTCCTATTGTGGATTGTCAGGAGAATTGCCCAGCCTGGGGATGGTGGGGGTGAAGGTAAAGGGGACAGTATTAAGATGGAAAGAGGTTGCCATAGGGATGGAACTAGGTTGGGGGGGAGGGATTTCCCATGACCTTTGAGTGTGTCCGGAGCAGCCAGGCTAAGGAGCAGGGCTGCTGTGTACAGTTGGGTCAGTTGTTCACCGCGCAAGGGCACCCAGGCGAGTAGGGGCTGAAATCCAGCGTGTATGCCCCTCCCCAGGCTGTCTTTCTGTGGACAAGGGAGAACTTCTTTCTGACAGGCCCAGGGTGCCTTATGGGCTGAAGGGGATCCTGGGGAAGGCAAGGAAGGCGATGACCTTGGCTTACTTTCTGAAGGGAGGTGAGGGGCTGGGAGCGGGGGCGGAGGAGCGAGGGCCAGGTTCTGCCATACGCCCTGGGCCCAGCTCGTGTTTCCCTAAATCCAACTTTGGACAACACAGGCCTCAGCAGGCACACTGCGGGTGGCTGGGGATCAGGGTTGCCAGGAGCATCCAGCTCTCCTGGCGCAGTGGGTGTTAAGAGGGATTAGAGGGGCCAAGGGCTGCACACGCTGGGCTCCCTGCTCCCCCGCAGCAGCACGGCTGGGGGGCAGGGGGGCAGAGGGGATGTGGACTGGCGGCTATTTTCCGAGCCACTGGATGCCGCACCCCAGGCAAGTCCCGGCTAGGATTTGGGGATAGGGGACCGGTTCTGGGGATTCCTGCTGGCCCTCAGCCTCCAGGCAGCACCAGCTGGAGATGCTGCTCAGGTGCTGGAAGATGCCCNGAAAATGCCTGAAAGATGTGATAAGGACTCGAGTGACAAAAAACTGACTCTCTCCTGGGCACTCCTGGGGAGCCGGGCACCTGTACAGGCCTCTGCAGCCACGCTCTTGCCCCTGCAAGGCAGGCACGGCCCCTTTCATAGGAGAAAAAGGTCTTTCAGGTCAGGAGGGGCCAGGGCACAGGCCACTGCTCCTAAATGGTGGAGCTTAGATTTGAACCCCCATCCATCTCACTCCAAAGACTTTTCATTTTTTGCCTCTTCACTGGACCTTGGGTGTGGGGGGTGCACTGATCACACTCCCCTGTCCATGGCACGAAGGATCATTGGACCACGCGGAGCCGGCCACCCTCGGTCCCTGCCATGGGCAGTCGTTCCTTCCTGTGTAGCTCCGGGCCTCTCATTTGTCCCTGCTCTTATATAACGTGCCTGCTTTGTGCAGAGCTGTTCTAATTTATGTAGAGATCTTTGCCTTATAGACCTCATTCTGGATCTACCTGGTTTGTTTTTTTCCACTCAGCCTCCTGCTTTTAAAGATTCATCCATTTTCTCTGTGTTATGTCTGCTCCATTATTACTCTCTAGGGGACTTGCTGGGGGTACAGCCACAGCATGGCCATCCAGGCCACCTCCCCATCACCGTTAATAGCACTACAGCGAACATCCATGGCCCCGTGGCCCCGTGGGAGGACCTCCTTGTGGTACTGGAGCCTCTTGATTGGTCAGCAGGTAGACCCAAGGAGGCCCCGTCACTCTCTAGAATGGGGCCAGCAGTGCACACGCCTCATAGCTGTGACATGGGACCCTTCCGCTCACACTGTGCCTCTGGTGATGGGGACAGTGATGACTGTGGCCAGGTGGTGATGTTGATGGTGACCACCCTGGGGTTGATGGCGACAGGATGATTTTGACCATGGGGGTGGGAATGGTGTTGATCGTGGCCACGGTGAGAGTTGGGTAATAATGGCACTAATGGCAACAATGACGTATGAGGCCTTATTACGTGCGCGACACTTGTTTCCTAAGCACCTTCCAGTATCAACTCCCTGAATTCTCCCGACCATCTTGTGAAGTAGGTCTTATGGTCACCCCCGTTTTACAGATGAGGAACTCGAGAGGTTACATGACGTGCCCAGGGTTAGTCCTGGTGAGGTGGGTGATGGTCGGTGATGATGGAGGTATTCATTGTGACCACTGTGAGGACAACAGCAGTAATGATGGTGACAGGTGATTGTGGCTGGGTGGCTGATGATGACAGGGCCTGTGTTTGTAATAACCACAGGGATGTTGTTGGTGACTGCTGCTGATGGCGGTGTTCAGCTGTGGCGATGAGGGTGATGGTGGTGACAGGAGTGATCGGGGTTCGGTTATGACGGCAGCAGGGGCCGTGTTTGAGGACAACACTGGGCTGTCAGTATTGGCGACTGATGATGTTCACAACCACGGTGGTGACAGTGGTGGTGACAGGGAAGCTGGCTGTGTTGATGATGACGGCGGCAGTGCCTGTGTCTGGTGCTTGCGGTGTTGGCCGGTGGCTGCGACGCTGACGAGCGCCTTCCTTTGCAGATGTGAAGTTCCTGAACAACCACAGCCTGGTGAAGGATGCTCAGGAGAAGGCCAACGCCGCCCTGCTCGATTACACCCTGTGCCACTACCCGCACTGCGGGGACAAGTTCCAGCAGCTGCTGCTGTGCTTGGTGGAGGTGCGGGCGCTGAGCATGCAGGCCAAGGAGTACCTGTACCACAAGCACCTGGGCAACGAGATGCCCCGCAACAACCTGCTCATCGAGATGCTGCAAGCCAAGCAGACTTGAGCCTGGGCGGGGCGGGGCCGGGACCTGGACGGGGCTGGGGAGGGGTCGCAGCCACCCCCTGGCCCTCTAGATGGTTTATTTTATTATGCTCACCCAGGAGCCCCACCCTGCAGGCCGATGCCCCTGAGCTCTCTGAAGCCCTGTTTGGGAAATGAGTGAGGGCGGGTAGGGCCTGGCTGAGGTGGGATGGCCCCCACTACCCATTGGCACGTGCCTGCCACTCAAAGTGCCCCCAGGGGCTGGCTGCTAGCCACCCCCGTCCCTTCCTCCTGCTCCCAGTTGCCTGTCCTGGAGTCTGGAGCACAAGTCCAGGGAGGAGGTTTGGGAAGCCCTGGTGGGCCTGGATGTCCCTTGGGTCAGAGGTCATCCCTTCCCCTCTCCTGGAAACAGAAGCAGAAAGATGTTGAGTGGCATCAGCTGGGGGAGAGGGGTCTCCAGAACCCCTCAGAGGCACCAGGAGGGAAGCCCTCTGTTTTGGAAACTGGGGATAACAGTTTGCAAAATCGGGCAGGAACTATTAGGTCCTAGAAGACACCGGGAGACTGGTTAGGGCAAAAAGACCTCCTCCTTGGCCCTCTACCCCCTTTGACTTGTGCTGGGAGAACTTGGACATGCCATTGGAAAAGGATTTTGCTACAATCATTTTTCTATCCCTCTCCCACCAGAGAGGTTTGGCACAATCAACATTGTAGCCCCACCCACAGTTGGCCCCCCCAGGCTCATATTTATCTGCAAAGCAGTAGTCAAGAGGTTTTTTGTTTTGTTTTGTTTGTTTTTGAATCTAGATACTCCTTGAAAGGTGTGTATGTGGTGGGTAAGGGGCAGATTGGAGGACTGAGGCTGGGCTGGGGGATTAGCAACAAGAACAGCCCATGGTACCTCCCCAAACACCCTCATACCAAGGACCACCCCCCTCCCCCAGTGGTGCTGGGTCACTATTTCTGGGATCCCACTCCAATCAAGAGAAGAGCTGTTCCTTGTCCCCCACCCCACTCGATAAACAGCCAGATGCTCTGTGGGGGGCTCGGTCTCCATGGGTGGGAATATGGGTGACCTTGGGGAGGGTGTATAGATCCCCAGATCAGGGACATTGCAGATAAGCCCCTTCCTCATTGGCCCCGTCGCATTTGGTCCCTTGCTGTAAAACCCTCGAAGCTGGACCTCAACTCCCTGGCTTCCTGCCCTATATTCTGAAAGACACTCTCCAGGGCCAGGCACTAGGGAGAGGCCTCAGCTCTCCTCTGTCCCCAGGCTGGGCATCCCCGTGTCCTGCTTTCACGTTGCCATTGCAGCTTACGCTGAGCCTGCCCAGTTGGAGGCAACTGGGCATCCCTGCTCCCCTGCCTTCCATCACCCTGTCTCAGTCCGTATCCCTGCCCACTGAAGTGTGTGCCCCCACCAAGGCTGGAGACCCACAGCCCCAAACGAGAAGTGCCCTTAAGAATCTCCCAGCCCCCGCAGCCCTGGAATAAATTTTGCAATTAGTTTCCAGCTATCTTTGGCTATTTACATTGTCGGGCAAAGCAGAGCCTCCTGCATGGGTTTGGGTGGTCTATGGTGGGGCAGTGCTCCAACTGAGATGGAGGTGACACTCAGAAACCTTTGGTTCAAAACTCAGGGGAGTCAGGATAGGGTGTGGGGGAATACCAGGCACTGTCTGGGGTCCCTTGGGCCTTATTTCATCCCTGAGACCCTGCCATGCTCAGGAGGCCCAGGAGATGCTTAAGCCTTTGGGACTCAGCCTCAGTTCCATCCTGGCACATGCAGCTCAGCGATCATCTTGGGCAGAAGGGAGCAATCATTTAATGAGCGCCTACCATCCCTAGAGTGGCCCAGTGAGGCAGGAGTTATAACCAGGAGAGGCACTTGGCAAGTGCTCCTTAGTCAGTGATCTGCAGGAACAGAGTCAAACCTGGGTCCACTTGACTTGGGAGCATTGGCCCAGTCCTCTCTGTCCACCTGGTGGCCAGTCACAGGCCCCCTGCCTGGCCCTCACCGATTCCCTTGCCTCTCCCTCCCCCGCCTCTTGGTGGCAGCAGTGAGCACAGCCAACATCTGAGGAGATTTCCTCTGCTCCCGGAGCCTTCCCAGGGCTTTTGCCTGCTTTGTCAGTCTTGTCCCATCTGTTCTTCACAGCCTCAGTTATGAGTGCAGAGGGGTGAAGTGGCCTGTCCAAGGTCACACACAGAGAAAGGGCAGAACCATTGTGCAAACCTTCTTGTCGCACCTAGACCAATCTAGTTTATCCCCAGGGCCACTCCTGATTCACTGTGTCCCTGTGCAAATTTTTAAAAGGGCCCCCTCTCGGGCGAGGTAGCCCTAGGCACATCCAGGAGTTTACCAGTTAGACAACTGGTTGGGGNTGCAGCTTACGCTGAGCCTGCCCAGTTGGAGGCAACTGGGCATCCCTGCTCCCCTGCCTTCCATCACCCTGTCTCAGTCCGTATCCCTGCCCACTGAAGTGTGTGCCCCCACCAAGGCTGGAGACCCACAGCCCCAAACGAGAAGTGCCCTTAAGAATCTCCCAGCCCCCGCAGCCCTGGAATAAATTTTGCAATTAGTTTCCAGCTATCTTTGGCTATTTACATTGTCGGGCAAAGCAGAGCCTCCTGCATGGGTTTGGGTGGTCTATGGTGGGGCAGTGCTCCAACTGAAATGGAGGTGACACTCAGAAACCTTTGGTTCAAAACTCAGGGGAGTCAGGATAGGGTGTGGGGGAATACCAGGCACTGTCTGGGGTCCCTTGGGCCTTATTTCATCCCTGAGACCCTGCCATGCTCAGGAGGCCCAGGAGATGCTTAAGCCTTTGGGACTCAGCCTCAGTTCCATCCTGGCACATGCAGCTCAGCGATCATCTTGGGCAGAAGGGAGCAATCATTTAATGAGCGCCTACCATCCCTAGAGTGGCCCAGTGAGGCAGGAGTTATAACCAGGAGAGGCACTTGGCAAGTGCTCCTTAGTCAGTGATCTGCAGGAACAGAGTCAAACCTGGGTCCACTTGACTTGGGAGCATTGGCCCAGTCCTCTCTGTCCACCTGGTGGCCAGTCACAGGCCCCCTGCCTGGCCCTCACCGATTCCCTTGCCTCTCCCTCCCCCGCCTCTTGGTGGCAGCAGTGAGCACAGCCAACATCTGAGGAGATTTCCTCTGCTCCCGGAGCCTTCCCAGGGCTTTTGCCTGCTTTGTCAGTCTTGTCCCATCTGTTCTTCACAGCCTCAGTTATGAGTGCAGAGGGGTGAAGTGGCCTGTCCAAGGTCACACACAGAGAAAGGGCAGAACCATTGTGCAAACCTTCTTGTCGCACCTAGACCAATCTAGTTTATCCCCAGGGCCACTCCTGATTCACTGTGTCCCTGTGCAAATTTTTAAAAGGGCCCCCTCTAGGGCGAGGTAGCCCTAGGCACATCCAGGAGTTTACCAGTTAGACAACTGGTTGGGGGCAGTCCAGGCAGAGGACAGTGTGAGCAAAGGGATGGAGGGGTGTCAGCATGCGGTGTTTGGGGACTCAAGAGAAGTTATTTTGGTTGGAGAGTAGAGAGTGTAGAGAGGAAGGGTATGGAGCAGGTGGAGGGGAGACTGGAAAGGACTTCTTGGTCCCTGCCTCTGGGCCCCTCCCCCCACCAACCCATAGTAGTTTGGGGTGGGGGGCAGGGCAGGAGCCCTCTGCAAGTGAAAAGAAGAGATCAGAGGACACTGCAAATGCAGGCAGTAGGGACCACCAAGTGCCTCATCCAGTTCAGCAAGGCCTGATGTCCCTGTTCTGCAGATGGTGGACTGGGGGTTTAACAGCCCCCCACCCGCGGAATGAAATACCCAGACTTCTGTCATTGCATGGTGGGTCCACCCCCACCCCCCCATAGATTTTGTCCCAGATAAAACCCAGGCAGGGCCCAGGGTGGAAGCAACTTCTACAGTTGTGGAGGGAACTGGGTGCAGCTTGTACCTTGCTGGGTCTCAGGGCTGCTGCTCACTCAGCCCTGCCCCACCTCCACCCACTCATGCCTCCCCCAGGGTGACTGCTTGGACGCTCCTCTACTGTGCCCCATCCTCTGGCCCCACCAGCATTTGAGCCAGGCTAAGGTCAACAGGACAGTTAGCCTCTGCACCCTGAGTCCCAGCCCCTGGCCACCCCCTTGCCCTGGCGCCAAGCCCTAGCACATCATCAGCATTCCTCACCTGGGCCCTGAAACCATTCTGCCCAAGAAGAGACCCAGGCTCAGAGAACAATCTTGCCTGTGGCCACAGAATGGATAGTGGCAGGACCTGGTCACACAGTCAGACTCTGAGTTGGGCACCTCCCACAGCATGACTCCCATCAGACCTGGAGCCAGTCCCGCCCTCCCTGGTGCTTCCTCTGAGCAGTCGGCTCCCATTCACAGACTGCCACCCTGACCCCCTGCTAACTGGCTGGGGAGACCCAGGTCTGCACAACGGGGTGATGGTGGCCTCCAGGCTGAGGTGAGGACCTTCAGCTCAAGGTGGTAAAGCGATCAGCACCAGCCAGGTACATAGTAGGTGCTAATAAGTGTTGGCTGCACCTACCCTGATGATGAAGCTGGGACCACCTAGAATCCCAAAGCGAAAGTGGCAGCTTCCCTTGTCCCTCTCTCCTCCCAGGGAGTCTGGCATCCTGTCCCTGTCCCCAGGCCAGGGTAATCCCAGAGAGGGACAGGTTACAAGAGTAAGTTTATTATAAGAGACACCACAGGGCCATCAGAATTCAGGGCTGGTGGAGAGGGACAGAGGGGAGGGACAGCCACAGACAGAAAGCTAGGGGAACAGAGCTGTGGGACCTGGTGGAGTTAGTGGGAGAGGCTACCGCTGCTCGGTCCCTCAGGGGCCTCCATTCGGGCCTTCCAGGGGTCCCCAGGAGGAGCCTGGAGAAAAGTCCCCAAGCGCTCTCTAGAAACCTGGAGGGAAGGGCATGCTTTGGCCTGAGCTGACAGAGAATCAGGTGGGTGACCCACCAGGATGGGGAGGGGGCTGGGAACTGAGGCTGGG